AATTATGGATTAAAATTAAATTAAGTTCTATATATCAATTTTAGTTTTAATTATATTTGCTTGGATACACAACAACAACAAATAAATCCTTTTTGATATGAAACAATCAAATGATAAAATTGCAGATGACAAGTTGCGAAATCTAGTCTACATATGTCAAGAGATGAAATCAGCTAGATGATAAAATAATAATTCTGAATATATTAGATTATCATCAATTTCAAATAAATAAGTCAGATCTAATACGATCAGCCTGTACTTATAACTTTTATAATAATATTTTTTATTAATTATTCATTACAATTATGATTATAATATACTTTGCTAGTCTTTGAGACTAAGCAAAAGTTTGAAAAAAATGTAATATAAAACAAGTACAAATATATGCAACATCAATTCAAATAAGTCATTATTCACCAATGGTGCCACAGTCAATATTTGGGGCCAGATATATGACAATATAAATTAAATATTGAAATTAACCCCCATAAATAAAGAATATTATGTCATGTATTGTTATATCATATATTAGTTGTATTATTATATATGTATTATTAAAATTTTATTTTATAGTCCTCCTGGAGCTACTCTGTGGGCTATATGATAAATGAATTAACAAATAAATAATGTCTTTTTACTTTAATACACAGGATAATTTTAGTCTTTATATGATGATTTAAATTATGTTATATTATCATGTCTATTTTCTGAATATTGATAAATGTTATACGTTCGTTGCATAAAATGTATTTATCCAAAATTAAAATTCCCAAATATAGAGTCATTTATATGATTAGATTAAAAATAATAATTTTAGACGTATATAATTCATTGTTTATGTTTAAACAGTCATTCATAATATTAAGTAATTTGTCTAAATTTGTCACCTTTTCCCACTTGCATTTAGTGTTGTACTTGTGTTCATAATTTAAAAAAAACGTTGGTTTGGCATTTACATACTCGTATATGGATTATAAGATCGAAATTAAACACAGACTAAGTAATCCCAGACTATGATACTGAAAAATCTATTTTTTTATCAGGCATACATCAAAACAAGCACCAGTCTTGTTTATCAAATTGTTAAAAAAACTTACGACTCAGAAGACTGTCGGAGAAGTCTGCTTTCTCTGCCGTCATCGCCAATCAGCAAATATTAACATATACTATTTATTTAATAAATTAATCAGTTTTTTGTTTTCGTCAAAGCAAATAGAATATTCTCACGAAACCATTGATAAATCACATCGATAATAAAGTTTTTCCAGCGATATCGAGCCGCTGGCAATCGCGCTCGCACTAAACCCCAAACATTTTAGTTTGTAATGAAATCTGCCGTTCGTACTTCTGCTGGTTTCGATAAATTGTGACATCAGATTGACTGTCTTATCACGCATGACAGATCACATAATGAGAATTATCACATATCGATAAAAAATACATTGAAAATGATAGCCAAAGAGCTGGTGCAGCCGCACTTGGTCATGAAGGTAGAAATAGAGGAGACGAAATACTAACACGGTGTAGGTAAACTGTTTTGTTTTGGTCAAATTCAATAGGGTAGAGCGGGGCTAGTTGAGCATAGGGGCAAGTTGAGCAATCGAAATATCTCGAAAACTATTCACCGTCCGTTAGGCATTATATGGCGGAAAGATAGAGGTTTGGGATAAATAAACATCCCGCGATCGCTAGTGGCCGCTGGACAAATGAGTGAGGCTCACCGGCGTTTTGTTTATTTGAGACCAAAAGTAAAAACGTAATTCATCACGAGTTTTCGTCTGGTTTAGTCAAATGTTATTTATTTTAATCAGGTAAATGTTATTCTTCAATATAATCATAGTACTTTTAATATGCACAGAGATTCTGGCTATAATTCTCACGGTTTTTTTATAAACTCACTTT